CCTATAAAACACAATTTTTTCATAAACTGTTTATTTGATAGTGACTCATTTATTTTTTAGTCAGCATCATCATGTGACTTTTCAAATAAAGTGAGGCCTTACATCTTGTTTAAGGCTGTAATATTTTTCTGATTTAGAATTAAAAATGAGCTAGGGAATAAGAGTCCATGTTGAAGGGGCCCTATTATTTTCATTTTCAGGTCCATATTTATATTTTGTGCCTCTACTGTGACGTGTCTCCATGCTTTGATTTTTCTCATACTGCTTGTGCTGCAGCACCTCTTTTCACCCTCTGTCTGAAACCAGAGCCCAGTCTGCTCTGATTGGTTAGCTGGCTGGCTCAGTTTGTGAGCTTTAGGGATGTTCCCGCCCCTTAGCCTATTCAGTATAATGTGATAAAGAGCCAGCCAATGGAAGCACGAGTGTTGCATAGTGATGTCACTATGTTACGGAAGTAAACAAAGGAGTCCAATGGAGGCGTTTCAGGCAGATTTGAGCCTTCGCAGACCATTTACATGCACACAAACCTATATAACACACTACAGGAAAGGTGAAACCCCCAGAAGCAAACAGGTTTTCTTTAATAAATCATCTTAATCAAACATTCTGTACAGAGCTCAAGTGTTGACACAAGTAGCTTGATGTTGGGTTGACTATGCTTATTTTCTTTTTGATTCTCCTTGCTTAAGCTAAGTTTAATTCATGGCAATCAACAATAAATGTAGCAGCAACGCCCTGTTTGTGTTATTAACTTGTGATCAGCCGTCAGATAATGAACAATTGTTATGTACTTGACCTTAAGTACACTCAGTTTTCCAGTAACTCCTAAAATAGCTCTAGTAGTAGAACTGCTAAAGGAAGTCAGTCCAAAATGATTGTATCTGTGGGAGTTTAAAGAGACTCTGGGTTTGTGCACGTGTTATTGTGTCACTGACCTACAATGCTGTTAGAACTGTGCTATTTTCTACCTCTGTGTTTCCTTCATCACAGGCCTGTGTTCCACTGTGGGGGGGACCTGGTCTCAGACTCAGGCTTTGTTGGCAGTGAGGGGTTCCCAAGCTTTTACAAACCCAACAGTAAATGTACCTGGCGTATCACCGTGAGTCAGTCACCCTGCAACATGTCTAAATACTGACTCCTTCCTTCCAGCATCTGACTCATATAGACTACAATGTCTTTGTTTTCCAGGTCCCAGAGGGAACTGTAGTCATGCTCACTTTCCGAATTTTTGACCTGGAGGCTGATTCACAATGTCGCTACGACTATCTGGATGTCTACAATGGCCAGTCCAACCTGGTGCAAAAACTAGGCCGCTTTTGTGGAACTTTCCGTCCTGGCGCTCTTATTTCCACCACAAACAGCATGATGCTAGAGATGGGGTCTGATGAGGCGACGCAGGGCAGAGGGTTTGTGGCCTACTTCAGTGGAGCCAAACCATATGTAGATGGTATGTGGTCAAAATTATTTTTAATACTTTTTAGAGGCTTACTAATCTACAACACTTTCGTGGTATTTGTCATGACATATTTTATATCCTAGGACTTTTAAGTAAAATATCCACTGCAAACTATACTGTGTAATTTTACCGTCACTTTTTCACTAACTCTTATACAACAAAGAATATTTCTTTATGACATTCTATATGAACTAAGACTCTTTAATGAACATTAAACAACATAGTATAGTATGTCAAAAATATCACTAAAAATGATATGGTATAGTCTGTCGAAAATATCAGAACAACGATAAGTATAGTATTTTGAAAATATAAAAGAAAATCGACAAAGTATATAGTTTGTCAAAATTATTAAAAAATCGTCATTGTATAGTATGTTAAAAATATATTAAAAAAAACATAGTATAAAATTATAAAAGAATCGTCATTGTATAGTATATCGAAAATATTTAAAAAACGACATAGTATGTATGTCAAAAATATTAAAAAGGACATAGTAGAGTATGTCGAAATATATTAAAAAAAGGACATAGTGAAATATGTCAAAAATATTAAAAAAACTTCATAGTATAGAATATCGGGAATATAACTAAAAATGAAATAGTATTGTATGTCGAAAATATTTAAAAAATGACAGTATTGTATGTCGAAAGTATGAAAAATGTGTCAGTATTCGTTAGTATGTCTTAATTATAAAAAAAATCATAGTATAGTATGTCAAAAATATCACAAAAAACTAAATAGTATGGCGAAAATATCACAAAAGATTCACATAGAATAGTATGTTGAAAATATCACAAAAAACGACACAGTAAAGTACGGCGAAAAAATTCAAAAGTCGACATAGATAACATGACATATGTAAAATATGTAAAAAATATGCAAAAAAAGGCATAAGTAGGGAGACAATTACTCGTGTCCATACTTCTTAAAGTCTACTTCCTTTTGAGTCATTATTCTTAGAGAGTGTATGACTTGTTTCAGACCATCAGTCCTGTGGGGGGAAGATGACGAAGGCCCAGGGAGAGATCAAGACGCCCAACTGGCCCGACAGCAAGTACCCTGCAGGGACCAGCTGCTCCTGGCTCATCACTGTGGAGCCTGACAAGGTCCGCAGCTCTCTCACTCCCAACAGATCATTTCCCAAAGTCTTTACACAACCATCTTGGATAACAACTGTTCAAGTGATTATTTGAAGTTCGATATCTTGTTCTTTTTATTTACCAGGTAATCCAGGTTAAGTTTGATAAGTTCGTCCTGGAGGTTGATTCCTATTGTCGGTTTGACTATGTGGCCTTCTTTAACGGTGGAGAGAAAGATGATTCACGGCTGATCGGGAAATACTGTGGAGATCGGGCCCCACAGTGAGTGGCAGATTTCTAAAGATGTTTGTTGGCTTAAAGCTTTTTGATCGACTTCTCTTGATGGAATACTTTACCTACAAAAACAACTATTTGTTATTATAAATAACTATTTGCTCTTTTGTAGGTTAAGGTCAATTGATCTGAGACTCTTGAAGACATTTTTTTTTAATCAAAATTGTTTCCATGATATACTATGAATTAAAATACTGGGACAAGTCTTGATGAATTGAAACAAACGGGCACCAAATTTGACAACAAGAAATATATTTTAAAAAATCAGTTTACAACATTAACAGAATTCTTGCAGTATGATCCAAGTCATTCATCTAGTCATATACTCACTTTTAAACCTCTGCATTTTTGTTAAAACTATTTAAACAACTTGCTTGATGTCCAACATGTTTTGATATAGCTTTGCTGTTAAACCCAACCCACATTTTCTTCATCGCTTCAATGCTTTACTTTGTTTTATTCACCATGCATGCCAGAAAAATAATATTTTCTTTACTTGGTCATATGGGTTGAGTAATTGAAAAAACGAATTATAATATTGTGTGTTAACTATTCCTTTAACTTCTACCTCATCTCCTTCCTGTCTATATCCAGGCCCATCATCACCAGCAGCAATGTGCTACTGGTCCAATTTGTGTCTGACCAAAGTGTGACATCGGATGGGTTCTTTGCTGAATACACCAGCGTCCCACCTGGTACTCAGGTACCAACATCCGACTCAGGAGTGGGCACCAGGTCCATCCCCCCAAAACCTGCTGTAAAACCGGCTGCACCTGTCGCTACGGCACCACCACCCAAATATGTGCCCACAGAGGCAACCAAACCAGTGAAGCCCACGAGGGGCCGTGGACAAGGCAACAGAGGGGTCCCTGTCACAAGACCAAATGGAAAGAGGCCTGGTGGGTGAAGTTTTGTGGTCGCCATACTTGTGTTTTAATTTGCAGAAGATGCATATCTAAAGGACATTTTGTATTCTTTCTTAGTTGTTCCAGTCCCTCAAAACCCTGTGTGTGCCAAAGCCTGCAAAAGAGAAGGAACCATCAAGACCAGTTTCTGTGCAAGTGAATTTTGTAAGCTTCTTATTTTATTTTATTCAGTTTATTTTTTTCTGCATTTTAAGAAATTATTCACAATGCATACATAACAAAAATAAACACATCTAAGTACATAAATTAACTACTTAACAGTTGAAAAATCCAAAATGAAATAATAATAATAATACAAATAAAATAATGGATACATCTTAATACTTAAGTATACATTAATAAGTCAAAAAAAATAACAACTATTTTCGTTATGGATTAATCTACAGATTATTTTAAAGTTGTTTGTTTTACCCTCGATGTATGAATCAAAGGAAAAGGCAAGAATGTGGTCAATTTCATACTGTTCAGATAGCAAGAAGAAACCAATCAGAAATTCTGACTGTGCGCTCTTTTTGCAGTGATAACTGGGAAGGTGACCTCTATGGCCCCGGGGCCCCGAAGGACTCTTGTGGTCACAATCTCCCTCACTAAGGCCTACAAAGCAGGTCGACTGATAATCACACAAGTGGGAGAAACCATGTCGGTTAAACTGGTGTCCCAGTGCAAGAAGTGCCCGTTGCTCCGCAAAGGTATGTTGAATTCAAAAACACTAAACAGTTTAATAGCAATTCCATTTACTCTCAAAATATATAACCTACTGTTTTTATGATTTCTTCTGTTTCAACAGGTGGCAGCTACATTATCATGGGTCAAGTGGATGGAGTAGGACGCGGTACCCTGGAACCCGGCGCATTCACAGCTCCATACAAAGCGTCACATCACAGACTATTAATGAATATCAACAACCAACCATGTTAACCTCACCCACATGTGGAGGCTGGGGATTCAGATGACATATCAAACACCAGACATTACAATGTGAAATACAGATCAACTAAAGCACAGTATTACTGATACACATAACTACAGTTTTTATCCACCATTTTAAAGGAATACACATGTTTTGTATGCAAACACCTGCCACACCTAACCTACCTTGGTAAATTCTATGAATAAAGGTTTTTATATATCTTTCAAATGGTTTGGCTGCATACTTTTTTGTAATTCTAGCTCTCTCTGTGTGTCTGATCCCACCTAGTGGATTTAAAGTGTATTACACTCAAACTAAGCTACTGTATTGCTAATTCAACTTTCTTCTAAAAACGACAGGTCTACCATTGAGGGGGTCACATCTCATATGGAGGTTATTGATTATTTAATTATTCAAATATATAAAAGTGTATACTTTTTTACATTAAGATACTCCTTATTGAATAAACAGAAATGTCAAAAACATCAAATTGTGTATCCACATGTGTATATATTTTTATCTAATTACCATTTCTACACTGAAAACAAACAAACACAAAGGGCCAGACTCGCCTCTTCATAACAATAATGGCTAAAGCAGAATAGAACACATTGATTGTCGTTCCAAGATGATGCTAAGAAAAGCTATTTAACTCTGAGGGTCTTTTTACATTAAGAAGATTCATTATCATGACAATGTTTTTTGTCAATGCATTGGAAAGAAATGGAAAAAATATGCAATTACTAAAAATGACCAGTAGAGGTAGATGAAGGTCAAAAAGAAATTCAAAAAAGAAATTCAAAATCTAGACATTTAGTATAACTTTCAAAAAATGATGATCAAGTAACAGTTTTAAAGAAAGATAAATAGGACCAAATTGTTAACATGACCATGTGATGTATCTGCTAATATACTGTACTTCTAAGTAGAACTCAAAGCAGTGTAAATAAAGAAATGATAACCAAAAGACCAAAGAACACATGTACCTACAACATGAAACCAACAGTAGCTTGTAACTCAGACATTGGAGAATAGGCAACATGTGTTTGGCAGCTAAAGAAAAGCTGAAACAACATTGTCGAACAAAGGTCTTTGGATTCAAATGATAAGATCATTTTTGCCTTTACATTCGGATGCCACTCCAATTCAGTTTACATTGGACACAAATCTGAAACTTCGTTACTGTTTTCAGCATGGGTGCAGGTTCTTTTTGTCTCAACATTGGTAAAAGGAACACATTTTAAGCTGGGGGAGGGTGGGCATTAAGCAAATGTCCCATCTGTCCCCCCCAAAATGTTGTTTAATGTATATCATGCTTCTTTAAACTTTAAACTTATACATTCACAGTCCTTCCTGTTTCAGTTTGCAAGTCGACTGACACTTTATTGTAAAAAGGTATAAAATACATTCAATACATTTCATTGTTAACAAAAAGCAATATTGAGTTCAAAACTACCAACGAAATATGATGGCTTTGTACAACATGATACAAAAAAAGAGGCAAATCATTAGGTAAAAAACAAACAAAGAAAGCCAGGCCACCCTCATTATTTAACTGGGATGCATATTACAACCATATCCAATCCTCCTGTGTTCCTACACCCATACACTCCCCTTCCCCTCCCTCTCTGAAGCCCCCTGCTGGCCGCAGCAGCCCCCTGCATCGGCCCTCCTGTGGCGGGAGGCCGGCAGGTTCTTGTAGACGGCTCGGCTGTAGGGAATAAAACACATCCCCAGCTGGAGGTGTCGGGCCAGGCGACAGAAGGCTGCGAGAGCCAGGACGAGCAGAGGGGTGAGCAGCAGGAAGCCCACAACCAGCAGAGCCACGCAGCCCCCGTCATCCAGGATGTCTGAGCAGTACAGAGAAGTGCCGTGGGGCTGCACCTGAGAAGAAGGAAGGAAATGAGTTAGGAGTGACATGGTGCAAACATCGAGGAATACACACATAAGGTCTTGTTTCCATCACTTTAGTGGACATTAAATTGATATAAACAAATTTGTTGAAGAATAACCCTAACCATAACCTAAATGTAAACTTAAACCATATTTTCACCTGCGTGTGTGTGTGTGTGTGTGTGTGTGTGTGTGTGTGTGTGTGTGTGTAACAAAGGTTTACACCGTCACTATGGGGAACACAATGCAAGTGTTCGTTGGACAGGTGAGTAATCAAATATTCACACAGGAACTAGAGCAGCTCAGTCACAGCTGCAAAGATAATAAACAATTAAGTGCCAGGATGATCCAGTTAACTCTTGGAAAACAGTATCAAATGTCTAGGAAAACATTTTTTCTTTTTCTTCAGCAGTTTGATTGAAAGTCACAGTTTGACTGTCAGTCTAAATCCTTTGCTGCGCTAAAGATTCCTGGTATATTAAAGTGGCCCTATTATGCTCAATTTCAGGTTCATTTGTATTTTGTGCCTCTACTGTGACATGTCTCCATGCTTTAATGTCCCTTCAAAAAGCTCTTTATTTTTCTCATACTGCCTGTGCTGCAGCACCTCTTTTCACCCTCTGTCTGAAACCAGAGCACAGTCTGCTCTGATTGGTCAAACACTTAGAGATGTCCCGCCCCTTGGCATACAATTAGTTGGAGTGCTAGCCAATAGAAGTGCGCGTTTTGTATAGTGTTGTCACTATGTTATGGAAGTAAAAAAGGAGTCCAATGGAGGAGTTTCAAGGCAGGGGGGGGGGGGTTAACACACTCTCCAGGGGGGTTAACACACTCCCGGAAAAGGAAACTCCCAAAAATCAACATAGGGCCCCACATTTTATTATGATTTTATACTACTAGGACATAGTTAGGAATTTGAACACAGCACTATGTTGCAATAATAAAATGGCAGCAGACAGTAGATTCTTACCGTGGAGTGACAGAGGAAGCCGAATATGATCATGACTAGAGAAGGGGTGAGGATGATGCCGAAGATGACGCTGGCCAGTCCGCCGTTGATCAGAGCGATGATCAGATTCTGTGCAGTGACCAGCACCGAGCACGCCCAGCAGTCCAAAGAGCCCCTTAATTCCAGCGGGGTGTCAGCTGCCTCAGTGCCGCCCAGAGAGTATGGGGGCGGCACCACGACCCCTGACCCCGCTCTGGAGGGGGAGCCCCGCTCAGACTGGGGCGGCTCGGACACATTCTTCTCCAACGTCCCGTTTCGTGATAGGCTCATCTGAAGAGAAAACACATTGATTTATCCTGCTGTTAGCATTGGAAGTCTGCATAAACTGGTCTTTTCATTTCACAATGTAGAGAGATGCTGTGTGTTTAGTAGAGTGCCAAGTGTTCTGCACTTTGTTGAAAAATCATATCCATTAAATATTTTGTCTATTTTCTGTATTAAAATCATCCAATTCATCAAGCCTATCCACTGAAATCAAGGAAAATGCTAAAAGAATGTTCCTTAAATAATGTGCTGAGAGGTGTGGAAAGTCAACACAGATAACTGAGCTAAATAACTAAACACAGCTCTAAGTGCGAGGAAATGGTTCTCCGCTGACCCCACCTCTAAACGCCAGGATAACCACGACCAAGAACAATGCACAGCTGGGAAACTAACTAAATTCCATTAATCAGTCATTTGAGTGTCAGAACAATGTTATGACTTTAATGTTCCAAGAGCAAAGGATTTAGTACATTTGTTTTGAACAAATTACTGATAGATAAGGTAAAAGTTTAAAAGTCTGTGTCTCAATTCACTCTGTGTTTGTCAACTCAGTGATGAGAAAACCACAGGGGCAAGTTCCACCATTTCCTTCTAATCTCAAGTGTGTTACCAGCTATTGATGTTCTGCCAAGTACCATGTGAACACATTTTACAACCAGTCACTCCTTTTAGTCTGTCTTTCAACATCATTCAAAGTAAAGTACAGTTCTTCTAATTTGTACACTCCTATCATCTGATTACTTGTTTGTGATGCTTCCTTAGTACAACATCTCATGAAAACCTTCTTTCAACTTCAGTTTTTAAAATACTTAATATCGTTTAAAATCCTGTTTGTGCCTGTATGTCACAAAGTCTTCCCTTAACCATGGACCAGCTCAAACACTAGCCTTTTGATGACATCGTTAAAGCAGCCTTCTTATTTCCAGATCAATTTAAGGAAATCCAAACTAACTCAACAATCTCAACTTAAGTGAAGAAACATATGCCAGTTGTTTCAATAGGATGTTGTACTGCATTCATTATAGAACAAATAAGGCCGTTTCATCAGGGTCAGGATGGCCTTTTTTCTGTTTCCTTTACATGGTTGTAATTACATTTAGATGGAGCTTGTTGTACTCACTGTGCGTTAGATCTGGTGATGGGACTCTGAAGAACCTGGAGAGCGTTTAATGCTAATAGACAAAGAGAATGTAAAGAATGTCCTCCTGATGTATGGCTTCTCTTTTTCAAAAAAAATCCAGGTCTTGAGAGTGAATTTACTCACTAAATCTACAATCCTTTTTGTGTTCTGGAATATTTCCTAAAATCCACCCTGAGGTATTTGCCCGCTCTTGAACCCAGATGTCTTCCTGAGACCTGCTGTTGACTGGGTCAGAAAAGAGCTCTGAAGACTTGAGCAAAATTCTGCTTTCCCACTGGCTTCAGCGCTTCCTTCCCTGACATTCTGTTTCCTCACCCCGACTCCAGTTTGAGATATGATTGAGTGCGTAAGTGTTTATGAGTGTGTGCCTGTGTGTGTGTAAGCGTGTATCCTGTGTTGCCTCTGATGCACAGAGAGCAGGCTGTGCTGTGTTAGTGGCTGCTGAAGGGGTCTGGGCAGGGGAGCAGTGGAGGGGCTCTGTGATAACCCCTGTAACCAGGGGGAGGGAGGAAGAGTGTTTATTTGGAGAGATTAGAGGAGTCAGGGTATGCTGCACAATCCCCAACACTTTGCACCCTTACTCACTTTCTCTACTCAACTGTCAAAAAACTGATAAGGTGGTTTTTGAAATTCTAAACAAGAAGAGCTGGATTTATATTGCATATTCATGAAACAAAAAAAGCTGACAATCTGCCAGTAAACTCAATGAGTTGCTAAGACTGACTGTTCCATTAGGTGTAAGGAACAGTCAGCAATTATTTTTGTCTTCTGTTGTTTTGCGCCTTTTTGTATTCTTTGGCATCTCGTTTGGAGTTGGTATGTCTTGCTTTTTACATTCAGAGTCTCTTTGTGTCCTTTGCAGTTTTTTAGAATCTCTTTGTAGTAGTTTTATGTTTCTTTTTGGTCAATTGAGTTTCTTTACTCGTCAGTGGATGTGTCTTTAAGTGACATTTTGTAGGGGAAGGCTGGGGGGGCAGACCTGTTCAGTAATCCATCTCTGAGGCTATGCTACAGTCATACTATACTGTACTGACAAAGGGTGTGAACAATTAGACTACTCAAATACTCCAAGAATTGCAAAACCTGTAATTCAGAAGGCTTAGGGAAAGCCAGGGCTGCTGGAGAGCATTGACCCTTGACCTTTTGATGAAAAACAGCTCGGCTTTCAGAAAACACAAGGAAATGAGAATGGGGGTGGGGGCACTCTCTAAATTGGTGGGGGAAAGAAGCTATCAGGGGACTGGCTGATAAGAAAGCGAGGGGCTCGGTTCAAAGAGTGGAATTAGTATTTTGATATGAAGACTCATTTTTTCATCCCACAGTGTATTTACTATTTGTTTACAGGGGTAGATATATATTCCCTGGAGATGGTATGTGTATTTTTACAGTCGTTACAAGAAACAAATGATCAAAGAGACTATGGCATTAGCGTGCCGGCTAAAAAAAAAATGCAGGAGCAAAGGGAGGTTATGTCATTAACAATGCCACAGAGTGTGTTGTTTAAAAGCGTATGTCAATGTCTGAGGGGGTTGGTAGAGGAAGAGCAGTCTTCCTGTCCTTGGAACCAGGATATCCGCTGCTGTGTCCACGTTCCTGATGAGATGGCCCTGCATCTGCAGTTTGGCAGTCTCCTGTCCTCTAAACCTCCAGACTGGTGGCAAAAATAGCAACCAGATAGAAAAATCTCAGGTTTACACATAGAAAAGGAAATGAGAGTACCGCCCTGAAGAATGTTGCTATTTGCTGTTTTATTGTTAGTCAACTGTATTAGTTTATACCTGGATTTTTATTATTGACAGTATATGTTTCAGTATGAAGGTGTGTCTCTTTTTTGGTCAGATCACTTAGGTCACATTATTACCTACAATTGTGGAGTATAGTTACTAAGCACTGTACTAAAGTGCGGTTTTAAAATATAAAGTACGAATATTTTCATGTTATTATTTTTACTCCGCTGCTTCTCAAAGGGAATTGTCAAGCCCTTGGGTACTTTTGCAGTTTCCCAGCTTGAAAGGGATGGTACAGTCCATAGGAGGTTTTCACTGGGCTTCACTCATACAATGACCACAACTTTGTTTTCTTTTGAGTTCTTCTTTACTTTAGTTTTTGTTGTTGCAGTACAGCTATGTAGCAAGGTTGTAAGGTGAAAAAACCTTAAAGGAAAAATAAAAATAATTACTGTAAATACAATGCACATTAAATAATAAATGCAAAAATACATGCTTTACATATATTTTTTACCACTTGTGAGTATTGTTTTTCCTTTCTTAGTGTATTTTTATGAATTATGCTTTTAAACAGTTTTTAACTTATGCAGTCTCATTAAAAATGCAAATATAATAGACTGAATTTTTTGCAGCATTCAAACCGTTTTTATCAATCTACATCTCTCAATAAACAAATCACATTCGTTTTTAACTTAACAATCATGCTGCTTTAGTTTGAGGACATCAAACAAACAAATGACACTGAACTAGAACGTACATTCTATACATTCTAACGTGCGCCAAGTTGTAAACTCTTCTATAAACACACAGTTCGTCTCTCACCGGCCGCCTCTCCAGCTTTTTATGGCTGCACCAGTGCTGCTTCTTTGTCGTTTCTTCTGCTGGTTCGTTGCTGATGCTGGACGAACGCTCTTTAGTGTGTCCCTCTCCAGCTTTGATTACCGCTCTCCTTTCAGGTGCGGTGCTTTTAAAGGTGCAGCGACGCTGATTAGCAATTAGGGAATGATTACAGACAGCTGCCACTCTGTCAATCAGCCCAACTTTTTAACCCTTTGCTCTCCTGTGGATTCTCCAAGTTGACTTCACAGGAATTATTGACCTTTTTTTACTCCATTTGGTCATTTACTTTTACTCACTTACTAACTTTGAATTATTAAATAAAAAATATAATGTAAACAAATATTGTAAGATGAATTGTTGTAAGTAAGAAAATAGTTTTACAAAGCAGTCTACAAAAAGTGAAACAAATCAGCTACACCATAACCAGCTGTAAGATTGAAAAGATAAACAAAGTGCTCCATCAATAATTATAATCCAAAAATGTATACATTATTCTGAAATGGGCAAAAAGACGCATTTTTGTTTTTGTACTTAAAGAACATTTCGATGGTAACACTTTGTACTTTTACTTACTACTATTTGAGTATTCCTACACTCAGGGGTTCACTTATTTTATTAAATGGTTTTACTTTTACTCAGTACCTCTTCCACCACTACCTCACAATCTAAAAATAAAAACAATCCGATAATTTAGTTTGATATTATTATTATTTCATTCCTTTCTGTTTTAGATGACTACTTCTCAACTATTTGGAGCAGCTGCATCTCTGTCAAGATGGTGTCAGGAAAGTGTCGGAGGGAAAATAAATGAGTTCTCTTCTCTCTCTCAACATACCCTTTGAAGACAGCCTTGAGGAGCTGGTCCAGTGGAACCACCCAGTGGCCAGCTGCAGAGTGGGAGACAGCTGAAACATGAGCTGTTTGAACTGTGGGAGAGAGCATGAGCCTTTACAAAGTCTGATCACTCTGACTCACTCAGCAGCCCACTGCTATACAAGTATATAGCCTACAATAGTTACATTAAAAATATACGGTTATATACAATACTAAAAACACCCAATCCTGTATTTTTATTGATTATTTCCATTATGGTAGTAACCCAAATGAGAGTGTATTAGCATGTGAAAGTGGTAACACACTTGCATACCATTAGACAAGACTAAGAGCCTACAACTATGATATCAGCTAATAGCCAATATGCTGATGCTAATGAGGCGTATCGGCAGTTTTTTTACTATACATACCATTTGATCCCATATTTTGCAGAAATACAAATGTATTTTTGCAAAATATGGTTATTTAACCATGGAACACATTCACAGTTACTATTTGGACTCAAATAGAAGATTTTGTATTGTAAATAAAGAGACATAGTTTGGCATTTGAAGATAAGCTAGGGGGTCACAAAAGCCATTATTAGAAATCCTCCAATTGGAAACATCAATATCTGTTTTTTGCTAATCAAGAGATCTTTCACAGAACCAGTAAAACGTTCATATGGTGGTGGTGCTGGAGGAAAGATCAGAGAACCAGCAAAGCCTTTAGGATTCTTAGGGCACCATGCATATCTGTGCTGAATCTCAGAAGATGTTTCAGGCTAGACCAAAGGGATGAACTCACTGACCCGGGCCATCCCTAAAGCCACGCTGCTGGCAGGGCTAAAAGCTAACATGGAACAGACAATAACAGCAGAAGCCTGTCGACCTCTGCAGAACAGTGATGATGACCGGTTCATACTGCAATGTGGAAAACCAAAGGGAAAGACTCATTTTTGAATAATTTATCAAAACATTTTATTTTCTTGAACAACAATACAATATGTCACAGAAAAATCACAGAGGGATTTAAGACAGGTCTGGCTCGGGTTTTCTTCTATGCGAGTTCTTTTTTCAAACAATAAGTGCAGCATAAATCAAACAGGAAAAAAGAGCATTATACCATCCTTCAAATAATACTAATGAGGACAAGACACAAAACAAAACCTCAACGTCATTAAAAGTCACATTCCTAAAAGTCTCTGCAAAATGCGTCAAGAATTACAACTACTGCTAATGTGCATCATAAAACCACTAATGCCTCACAAGATTATGAATTTCATACAATGGAAAAAAACATTAAAAAAGATCTTGAATGAATCTGATACAGTACAAATACATCTTTCCATTTCTGTTAGCACTAAACTGTGTTGAAATGGATCTAAGCACCAGTTTTATCACTGATAAAGTTCACACTGTATATTGTTATATGCTGTTTAATGAGGGGGGCAAGGAGGGTCTAGCACCATGAAAATTAAACAGCCCCCTGATTGCACTTCCCCTATCCACACAATACACCCATACTACAATTTTAAAATACCTTGTAGCCCCTTATCAAGTGAAGTGCCCTTTGATATGCAATAAATATATAAGAAAACAACCATGTACAGTATAAATAACGTCACCATTTACAATTTTCTCTGTAATCCCAAAAACTGAAACTGACAACAAAAAGAGGTATAAAAGTGGGATGAAATTCCCGTTGCAGTAATTTAACTGGAGTGAAAAAGGATATTTTAGGTTGTTTTATAATACAGCAACAACATACCACAAAGTCTGATGTGGAGAGATTCGACCACAAAACAATTTCAATATTTGATTGAGAACAAAACTACATACATAAGTCATATCGAGAACCTGCAAACAGATACATTATGTACAGTAGATGGTGTGCACAGACTAATGAGGGAAGGGCGAAAATGTGAAAGTCGTCATTTGTTGGGAATTCATTCAAATGCTTTAACAGCAGGAATACTAGAACTGGAAAAGATAGGCCTTGCCCAGGTGGTCAAATGATTGCATTTGATCACCTGGGCAGTAAAGGTAATAATTAAATGTGATGTATGAAGCTGAAGATAATTATGTGATGATAAAATAGTTCGGCTGACACATTACCAATGTCTGATATACATTGTTGTTTCTCCTGTGTTTATTGAATTTCAAAGTTTTTTTTAAATCTGTGAAACAGGTATTTGTTGTTGTAATACTCATTTTGGCCACAAAAGGCTGAACCACAACACTACCCCATGCACTAAATACAGCTTAAACATTTTGGTCTTTCTTCAAAGAAATATATACAATATATAATTTACATATATTGTTAAAAATATAGTTTGTTTTAGAGTGCATGTAGATATTTAAACTCATGTGGCATGACACATGAATGCTTTTAGTCCTTTTAAGAACATGGTGTATTGGTGCACTTCTGCCTCTTGTGGCCAACATTTGCATTATAAAAATACTCCCCGACCCCCCACCTCCCTTTCAGGGCTTCTGCAGTTTAGCCTAGTCTCAACAAAATGACACCCTTTATTTTGAAGTACTGTTTGAAGTTGAGGGAAAAAACCGACTGAGCCTTTCTTGTCATGTTTCAATTCATGTGCTCTATAACATGTCAAACTGGAAATACAGTACATTAACAGGACGGATGTTTGGGGCAAAATGAAAACAATGAGGTGTCATTCAGTCCGCTCATCTTTTTGGCTTCATCGCCTTTTTCATTGTAACAAAATGATTGTGTGTCTCTTTGGACAGATTACTTCCCCAGACGGAAACTGGCACTTCTTCGACATTAACATCAATGCTGACCCTCCCTTTCCGCTATGCACCCCGTCTATGCACACCACTGTGTATTCAATCAATTCATTCAGAATTTACAATTATTTGTTTTTTCTGTCTAGAAATGAGAACAAAGCAACAAAAGAGGTATAAAACTGGGATAGTTTTCCCATTCCAAAAATAAAAACAACACTATGTCTGTTTTCCGGGTGTATCGTAGAAAACCTATTTAGAGGGATACAAAACAAAAAACTATTTTATAATTTACAAACTTGATTTCCAACTACAGTAAAACCGTTTTAGTCGTCTTTTAACCCGTATTTAAGAGAAACCAATGCAAGTTGTTTTTTTTAAAACCTACAGTACATAAATCCTTATTTTTGTGTTTAAACCTCTAATTAAAGGTGGGGTAGGCAAGTTTGAGAAACCGGCTCGAGATACACTTTTTGTTATATTCCATGGAATGCTCTTAACATCCCGATAGCAATGAATATCTGAAGTGTTTTGACAATAAATACATAAAAAAATGTAATCTGTGGAAGCCGTGGTACTGTAAAAAGCACCACCAATCATTTTAGCCGGCCCGGCTAAAATAACTGGATGGCCTACCTGCCTGTCAGCCTTCCATCTGTGCACAAACTTATCTCGTGCCCTCATTGGTCATGTGCACGTTCGTGTGTGTTGGAGGAGGGGCTCTGTAAGGAAGTGGCAGATTTTTTCCGGTTGTGTATTTTCAAATTCTAGCGCACTCGAGCTGGTTTCTCCAAAATTACCTACCCCACCTTTAACTCTAAATACAGTTTTCAAGGCCAATGTGGTGTACTTATAGGCTGGTAAAACTTGTTTAAGTATTCAACGGGAATAAATTAGATTGGAGTAGCACCTCAAAGAGTAAACAGACAGGAATTAGAAATGCCGGAGTTTACCCGAATAGCAAACAGAAACAGGAACCAAAACGATGTGACAATCAGCTACTTCTCCTGTGAAGCGATTCCCCTGCTGGTACGACAGAATCACAGCAAATTCATGGACACATAGAATAACTAGAGTGGTGTAAAAAAAGTTCCACTGAATTTGCATAAAAGTACCTGAATTTATACAAAGAACCGGCTACTAGATGCTTTTGAATCACAGCAGTGTCCGTTATAAACATATAACCTGATTTTTAATGCTAGCAGTGCTCACATATTGTTTTGTTTTTAACATGTCTAAAATGCTTTTCATGGGAAGTACCAGTCTAGTCATTCTATTTCAAAACACACGTCCAATCAGCAGCTGGTATGGGGAAGACAGTGAGCTATAGTTGGATTGGCTGAGTATCCATACCTTAGTGTGTGATGTAAACAATACTGAGTAAACGTGATTGGCTGATTCAGAGAGTGTTTGAAGGAATAGATTGCCTTGAAGACAATATTTGTGCTGCCATTAGAGTTTTGGTTTATGGCTGAAAGACGTTAGGGAGGAGTCCTCACTTGGAAACAGGTGATGGAGCCTGAAGTAGGAGAAAAAAGGGGGGGAGACAAGATGGGGAGACAGAGCTCAGCTGGCAACTAGAAAAGCTGTGTGTGTGTGTTCCAGTCATGAGAGAGCACTTATTACATAGAAAACAATTATTTCTGGGCCCTACAAATATCTTATATGCAAAAACATACCTTAACTTTTCATCAGTACTTTTCGTGAGGTATTCTTTGATGTTTGTATGAAAACACCTTGTGAAAGCCACCAGTATTAAAAAAAAGGTATACAATTTAACATTTTCCTTTTTTATAATATATAAAATGAATACAGGTATGTGTTATTATTTGTTGAGTTATGTCCTTACATTATCACATGTCTCATAATAATTATAGAGAAATCCTTTACTTTAGTGAAGATAACCTTCCATTTCATTTAGTCCTCTGTAACAGCGAGGTATCCCTTTATAAACCCAGTTTAGATCTCTACAGAGTGTTCTTAAGGGATGCATTGAAGCTAGACATTTCATATGTATGAAGCAATACTGTATGAAACCCTTTTTGTACTTTGTCTATCCTTAAAACCTTTCTGAAAAAAGCATTACGGTCATTGATCGATAATGAGGCCTACCAGTGTGAAGGCGTCATAGATTTTCGTCAGCTCCTCTATTCGATACTGCTCCAGCACCACGACCCCCCCCAGCGACGGGCTCTTGGCTCGGGCACAGTCCTCACAGTGCACCACGTAGCTCTTCTTAGTGCTGTTCTCACTGGTCACCAGCAGCAGGTCGTACACCTCCAGCTGCGCGCACGCGCACACACACACACACACACACACACACACACACACACACACACACACACACACACACACACACACACACACACACACAAACACACACACACACACACACTACACACACTACACACACCTACACACACACACACACACACACACACACACACACACACACACACACACACACACACACACACACACACACACACACACACACACACACACACACACACACACACACACACACACACACACAACACACACACACAACCAGTTAATTCTATGAAAACAGATGCTAACCGTCCTGTATGGCCTGACGGGAGACTCACGTCACAGTCGTTGCAGTAGTAGGCGGGCTCGTCCTTCACTCGGCTCTGGTAACTGATCTTCTTCCCTGCAGCCAGCAGCTGTTCTCTCAACATCTGGATGTGCTTGATGGACTGCATCAGGCAGTGTCTGAGGGAGATGGAGGAGCGGATAGTGGGGAATGTAAACACACGCAGGCTCTCGGATTTCATGGTATGCAGATATGGAATGCCAAAGTAGATGTTATCAAGAGCTCAGTAATCTGAGAATGTTTTAAAAAGAAATTGTCATGACATTTAATTTAATATCTCAAATTATTTCTTGACTAATATACAGTATATTTATATATATGTGACCTGCTCCATCGAAATCAGTCACATTGACCCGAAGGCACACTTTGAGTTTTATACACTGTTGGAAAGAGGAGAGTCCTAGCTTTCTAATGATATCAGGATTGTTTCTGTACTCCAAATATTAAGCAAAATATGTCACATTATATAATGACTGTCACCGAGTCATCATTTTGAGAAAAAGGCCTTCAAAGTTTCCTCTTCTCTGGAATCCATCGATCTGATTGATTATTAGCGGAGCAAATGATCAAAATACTACGGAGGGAAGATATTTTCATTTTGGATTACTGGTCTGGGGAAGCTGGAGTGTGTGTGTGTGTGTGTTTTTATACGTGTGTGTTTGTGTAATTTTGGTTGTGTGTTATTGTTTTGGTTTCCGGGAAAACTCACGAGAAAACACCGGCTGTGTTAGCGCGCTGTGACGTCAAGTACTCCGGCTCTCCGGTAATGATGCCGTTACAAGCTTCAAGAGTGTGAATCATCATCTGGGGAAATTGCCGAAACAATTTACTATTCTGAAAGCCAAGACTTTGTTATTTGTAATCAAGTGTTAACTAATATAACGTGTATAATACTGTGTATTCTTGTCTCGTGTTTGGGTGAATGCGATGTTCGTATACGCTGTACATCAAATTTCACGGAAAGCGTTGAGGAGGGGAGTCGTTGTCCGATGAACAGCAGAGTGGGTGAGTAGAGCTGTCTTGCTTCGTACGAAGCTTC